ACTGGAGAGAAGCAAACCACCTATCATGGCAAGTAGAGGTGGTTTCCTCTTCTCCACTCTCATGCTATTCTTGACCTGCAACAGACTATAGCGCCCTTGTCAACGCTTGCAACATGAGCAGAACTGTGGGTGGGTTGGGCTCATCCTTGCCCGCAGGAAAGGCAGTCTGCTCAAAATGTCTGCGTTCAGATTCTTCAACGCACAGCTACAGGCAACACTGAATTTGCCTGCTGGCACCTGTCAGCATCATGGATCGTCTTGATCAGCTCGAGGCAAGGATGCCGAAAACCTCGTCCTCGGAGTTTTCGTGCAGCATGAACTCTGACAAACACTGTTCCAAGAGTCCGCAAAGAAAAAAAGGTCCAAAGCACCTAGGAAGAGGGTTCCTGTTCAAGCTGAGTCAGCCGCAGACACTGCAGTCGCTGACCAACGTGACTGTCAGCTCGGTTTCTCGGCTGCGCACGGACATCATCGCCTGGTTTCACCAGATAAATTTCAGGTTCCAGACGTTTAAAGTTGCACCAGGTGAGGCCATCCCATTGATTGTATCCAAGCTACCATCTAAGGACTCCATGTAGATTATGTACCACCTCAAGACGGCCAAGCTAACAATGTAGAAGCAAATGAAGAAAGCTTTCCGTCGTCGTTACAACCTGGACAACGAAGCTGAGGCAAAACAAAAGATGTTCAGCACAAGTCAGCACTCGGGAGAGTCCTGCACCAACTCCGCCTTCTATTTACTGGAGCTCATCCATGAGTGCAGCTACCCAGAGACGAAGGCGGAGAAATGCAAGGTTATCCTGGCCACACTCTTCCACAAAGCACGAAAGCATGCTTCGACAGGCGCTTCGCTTCGTTGAATGAGTTGCTGGACTCTTTCCTTTGCTTTGACCAGGTTGTCTTCAGCCAACCAAAGACACCGGTTTTGGCTCTCGCTGCAGAGCGAGTGCAAGCTGCGCAGGGACAAAGAAAGCGCACTCCTTCCTGCTCTTGAAGCAGGGCCGGCCACTGCCTCATCGGAACGCTGACGACAGCAATCGTCACCAGCACACTTCTGCAACTGGGAAGCAAAAGAAGCAGCATGTGTCAAAAACTTTGCGGGACTTTCAATGTTCTTCGTCCCAATACCCTGAAGTTCGTCCGCTCCGTCTCATTTGTAAGAGACGCGGCCACTTTGTCACGTGATGCCGGCAAGAGCTGACCCAAGAATTTCTGGAATGGCAACAGCACTTTGAGTCTATTGCATTGTTGACGAAGAAAAGTGAAAACCTGATGCGCCTATTGCCTGGAAGGTGTCATTAGTAGTTTGTTACATCACCTCTGGTGCTGCAGTGGGCATCAAGACAATTAAGCTCAGCAATGCGAACACTGACCACATTTTCCGTTGATTAAGCCTTTTTTTGCCAGGGGACTTCTGTCTCAGAACCTTGGAAAGTTGTCAACCCTCAGCACCAACGTTGGTGTCACATTTGATAGCAGTACGCAGCTCGGAAGGTGACCTCCAGACAAATCAAGCTTGCTCAAGAAAAGCAAGAAAGCGACTTTGACAGTGGCACATGCATGTTCTTTTTAAGGACTAGCTCGAGTTGTAGGAGAGCCCACTCATCAGAGTCAAGGTAACACTATGATTTACTGGCCCTCGCCAAATCGTGAGCCGGCTCTCTCCCGTGAACTACGAGCTTGAACTCGTGGACGGTACTGGCCGCAATGTAGTGCATGTGGAGAAACTGAAGCCGGTCGTCAAATTTGTGCAGCCTCTACCTGGGAACTGAATTTTGTAAACTTTATAAGTTTTTTTTCTCATTTATCACGTCGTATGTATATCATTATTTAATCATGTGCATATTGCTCAATGCAATATTTGTTTAATGTTTGTTGCATGGCAGCGTGATATCAGGTCGACGCTTAAAACCCTTGGCACGTGACGAGCTGCAAGAGACATCGCTCTGAGGCGGCTCGTGCGAGCGCTCATGATCGAAATAAAAGAAGTAGTTTTGGCATGGTAGTTGATGACGTTGACATGTCTCTCCTGAGCACGGTGCCCATTTATCTTGATGACCGATCCAGATCGTCACAACAACATTACCCAGGTAGAATTCCATGATGGGTTTTCCTGCTAGGACTGTCTCCTTGCAGAGCTGAAAAATTGCCGCGGCAGCCGAAATTTTCAAGAGCATCCTTTTCACTCTGTGTCGTTCTTTGATGGTGTTTATGGTGAGCATATCTGCTGTCTCCACTGTCACACACAGCTAGTGGAATGCCTTGTGGCTGGGGCCTCTGCCGCGGTCTGCGTGGGGGTGGGTTGGGGCACAGCGAGTTTTCTTATCTTCCCCTCTGATTATTCATTGTTTCCATACGTGTATATGTGTTATCTTGTACTTACGACTACAGTTTGTTTATGTTTATACCTACTCAGCGGCGGGCTAGCAGGCGCACATGCGTAAGGGTATTAACCTTTCTGTCTAGCCTCGCACGCCGCTGAGTGGGCAAACTTTCTCGTGGAAATAAAAATTATTATTATTATTATTATTAGTGAGGTACACTGTTGAAAAAATAGTGCCTCCAAGCACGCTCACCACAAAATTTGTTACAGCCCGCATCAGATTTACCGCCAGTTTTTCAACAGCGTTCAGTGTTGTGTTGGCTAGATTATGCCTTAGCTTTGGAGCATCCAGAGTTCTGCCTCCACTGCGGTACACATTGCAAACGGAACAGGGCTAGCCTTCAAAAAACGCAGTGCTGCATCTTTTTTCAGGTCCAGGTTCACCGAGGGTTCTTTGTGCCTGCTCATCCCTGGGTGAAGAACTTCCTCATGTGTCAGCAACGTGTCATCTAGGGTCTTGCAGTAGGGTGCGACTAGTATTTCCTTTTAGGTCACCATGGGTTGGTCCTGCACCTCTTCCATGGCTGTGGCCCGGTAAGTCAGCGCGCAGGCCTGCTGGTGAGCAAGTTTGTTGCCCTCTACCACGGAGTGGGCAGGTACCCATTTAAATTCTATGGGCTCCTTTGGGGGTCTTTTGTTTTTGAGCACCTGCAGCGCTTTTCAGGGCACCGAGCCCGACTGGAAGCTCCGGTATGCTTGGTGTGAGTCGGTGATTACCCTGGTTTTGCCCAGCATTAGGTAACCCCGTCTTGTTCCGCAATGCTTCGATTACTCTTTTAGCAAGTGTATTTATGTACCAGTTTTATTTCACACACACTTGTTCTCACTGTTTATATTACTCACCAGCCCTGTAGGTATCAGCCACCTGTCTGTTCATATGTTGATCTTTTGTATTTTTCATGTACTTCCCCCCCCCCACACACACACACACTCCTTATGTAATGCTCCTGTTGGGGCCTTTAAAGTTACAATATATATATATATATATATATATATATATACAGGGTGTCACAAATGAAAATTTACACTGTCTTTTTTACCGCAAGAATGAACTAGGCATCGCCGAACGCTCATTTTCCGCCCAAAGGTAGAGCTAGAGGTCACAACCAGATGCCGAAGTTTCAGCCCGATCCGATAACTTAATCAAAAGTTATGAGTGATTTTCTGAAAATTTCAATGGGAAAATGGACCCCATTTTCGCTCGTTTTCGGTTTCTGGTGCCATAGAGCCCCATGTCTTTGAAAACTCCGTCGGCCGCCATTTTCCCATTGAAATTTTCAGAAAATCATTTATAACTTTTGATTAAGTTATCGGATCGGGTTGAAACTTTGGCATCTGGTTGTGACCTCCAGCTCTACATTTGGGCGGAGAATGAGCGTTCGGCGATGCCTAGTTTATTTTTGCGGTAAAAAAGACCGTGTAAATTTTCTTTTGTGACACCCTGTATATATATATATATAAAAAGCTGCCAGCAGCATTGGAAGAATTTAGGAGCGGGGGTGGGGGCAACCAGTTTGAATCCCTGTGCCGACGTGACGCCACACATAACTTGAGCACATTATATAACATTCCCACCCATCTGATCGGCATTCCTAATCAGCTTTATTTCCATATGTTCAGTGACAATGTAAGCCAGTTTTAGATACTATACTTTTATAGTATTACTTTTCCGTACTTCTCACTGCAACGTTTTCATGGCGAGCATACTGTTCCCAGCTGCAGATCACGACAGCCGCGCACAAGTAGCGAGCCTCAGTTTGGGCATCTAGGACGTAGTACGTAGCTGTTGCGCGTCTCGTACGCACTGCAAAATCTGCGTAAAACGATCCAAACTTCTTTCAGCAAGCGCTGTGACCCAAGGGGGTATCGGAGGTCGAGTGTGTTAGCGCACCGCAGCTCGTACGGCGAAAGGTCCCACTGCCAGGGATCCCCACCCCTACCCGTTTCGATCTGTTGTGAGGCACAGACCCCAGGCAAGCAGTCGTACTGTAGTGGCTAAATTTTCTCATCTACAGCCTGAAACGGTGTCGCCAGAACCTAGACAGGCCGATCGCACGCTATTTAAAATAGTGAACGTCTTATTTTCTTCCGCTGTGCCCAAAATGACGACAGGGCATGCGATTGAAAGACCAGCGGACAGGCTACCACTCTTGCCTTCGAATCGCTCGGGAGTCGGGCACCTGCATTTGCACCATGATCGAAGAACCAGAAAGAAACGATGTCAAATCACATCGACACAGAATCACTCCAAGCTTCCTTGCTTGTGCCCTTCAGCTCTGCGCGCCGTCAGCCGTATCAACGCCAATCACAATTAATTAACGCCTGCCGCGCGCGTTCCGCCGCTCATACAAACAACAACAAACAATCAGGGTGTTATGCTGCAGAAAGTTACTTCCGCCAGTTTTAGCGAAATGCGGAGCTCAACCCCTGCTCCGCCGACGTTATTCAAGGTATTGAATTTGGCGTAAGGGTAGTGTGTTTGGGGTATGCGAAAAAGACTACGGTATTGACTATGGCGTACGCCGAAATGACTACGGTATTGATTTTGGCGTACGCCAAAACCACTACCGTAGTCGGAGCGGAGGGGTAGTGAGATCGGCGTCCTACACCGGCAGAGACTATCGACCAGTTTCATGTGCGTCTGCGGCAACTAGCCCTAACGTGCGAGTTCGCCGACGTGGGCGGAGAAGTCCTGTCACAGGTTATAGAAGGCACCGCGTCGACGAAACTGAGAAGAAACGCGCTCCGAGAACCGGACGTGAAACTGGAGCGGCTATTGCTCGAAAGGCGCAGCCTCGAGAACGCCGAGAGACAAGCCGCCGACATAGAGAGAAAAGTTTCGGTGCCGGTGAACAAGGTACCACCAAAGAAGAAACCGTGGCCCCGAAAAACACAGAAAAAAGAAGTCCCCCAGACGAAGACATGCACGTGTTGCGGGAGAGGTTGGCCACACGACGGAGGCAAGGAGAAGTGTCCAGCATGGGGATCAACTTGCCACAATTGCAACAAGAAAAACCACTTCGCCAACGTGTGCAGAACGCGCAAACAAGAGCAAGTCAGAACGGTTCAAGAACTGGAACCAACTCGGAGCGAAGACGTTTCCGAAGAACTGTACTACGTGCAGCAGAAACAGTCCAAGATCCCCAGCGTGACTGTAGAAATAGAAGAGTCGAGATCGAAGTCTACGTGGACTCTGGAGCAGGAGTTGACGTAATTGGAGAAACAACTTGGAGGGACAAGCTTAAAGCACCTTTGGAAAAGACCGTCATCCGCCTAGTGCCCTATGGAATGAAGCAACCTCTTCCAGTGGTTGGGGTGTTCAAAGCCAAGATAAAAGCTCGAAAGAACACCACCCACACGAGTGTATACATCATCAAGGGACATCATGCATCCCTTCTGAGTTACCAGACAGCAACAAGGTTGGGTCTCATTCAAGTGCTGAATAGCATTGAAGAAAAATCCCAAGTTGATCCTGTTAAGGAGTTCCCCAGCCTCTTCGCTGGATTGGGAAAACTACAGAATTTCCAGGTCAAGCTCCAGATAAAGGAAGATGCCAAACCAGTCGCTCGCCCACACAGAAGAATTCCGTTCAAGATGCGAAAAGGAGTTGAAGACGAGCTAAAGAGACTAGAAGAACTGGACATTATTTAGCCAGTCAAAGGTCAGACCCCTTGGGTTTCCCCTATTGTGGTAGTACCGAAGCAGAACAACCCCCAAGCGGTGAGGATGTGCGTGGACATGAGAGAGCCCAACGTTGCGATAGAACGAGAGAGGCATGTCATGCCTACGGTGGAAGATGTCATTGGTATCCTGAATGGAGCCAAGTACTTCACAAAACTTGACCTGAATGAGGGCTACCATCAGTTGGAGCTCGATGAACTATCAAGGCAGATAACCACGTTCTCAACACACAAACGACTAAGAAGATACAAGAGACTTCCCTTCGGAGTAAACTCTGCTGCAAAAATCTTTCAAGACGTCGTCCAACAAGTTCTTCCTGATGAAGAGGGCATAATCAACATCAGTGATGACATTTTGGTGTCAGGGCGAACAGTAGAAGAACACGACAACAGACTTCGCCTGGTTCTAAAGGCCCTCCAGGATGCGGGGCTGACCCTCAATGGCAAGAAGTGTGTGATCGGTGCAGGCACTCTCAAGTTCTTTGGACACGTGTTTTCAGCATCGGGCATCACTGTGGGCCCAGCCAAGGTAGACGCAGTCACTCGGATGGCCCCGCAGAGCAATCCATCTGACGTCCGGAGCCTACTAGGTATGGTAAACTACAGCAGCAGGTTCATTCCAAGACTAGCGCAAATGGCCGAACCTCTTCGAGCACTGACTCATGCCAAGAACGTCTTCAAATGGAACAAAGAGCACCAAGAGGCTCTAGACAAGATCAAGATGGAAATGGCTGCCAGCCATTCGCTCGACTACTATGACGACACCAAAGAGACACATCTCATCACAGATGCCGGTCCAAGTGGACTGGGTGCCATGCTTACTCAAGAATCAAGAAAGGGTAAGCTCAGCATTTTGGCCTACTATAGCCGAGCACTCACGCCGACAGAACAACGATATCCCCAGATCGACAAGGAGATGTTGGCAATAGTATCAGCATTGGAACATTTCAGGGTGTACCTAGCAGGAGGAGAATTCACAATCAAGGCGGACCACAAGCCCCTAGTCTCCATCCCCCAGAATCCAAGTGCGAAACTGTCAGCCAGGTTGGAACGACTGAATCTGAGACTGCAGCAGTACAGCTACAAGGTGGAACACATCCCTGGAAAGGACAACCCCACGGACTATTTGTCAAGACACGTCCGAGGCTCTGACTTGGAGTCCAAAGAAAGCAGAGCCACTCGAGAATATGTTTGCTACGTGTGCACCACAGCTGTGCCAAAAGCGATGACAATGGAGGAGGTGGAGAAGGCCTATGATGGAGACCCACTTATGCAGAAACTGAAGAACGCCACCCTAGAAGAGGATAAAAAGGCGTTAGACAAGATGGAAGAAGAGACTCTAAGGCCTTTCGTTCACATCCGTCAAGAGCTCACTGTCACTGACAACGATGTCATCCTGAGAGGCACGAGACTAATACTCCCAGAGGCTCTACATCTGAAAGCGATAGAAATCGCTCACAGAGGACACCAAGGTGTCGTGAAGACTAAGCAGCTTATTCGAGAGAAAAACTGGTCCCCTGGGTTGGATAAGAAAGTAGAATCTGTGGTGAAGAACTGCCGAGCCTGTCAGAGCACAGTGTCGAAAGAGAAGCCACCACCACTCAAAATGACGGATCTTCCTGCTGGTCCTTGGCAAGCGTTGGCAGCAGACTTTGCAGGTCCCTTTCAAGGAGGAAAGTATCTCCTGGTCGTAGCGGATGAATACTCACGGTTTCCTCTGGTGACGACGCTGCCATCTCTGAACACTGAAGGAGTAATGTCAAAAATGTAAGAAATGTTTTCCGTCCACGGCCTGCCGCTGAGCATCAAGACTTACAATAAACCGCCGTTCTTCAGTCAAGACTTTGCCGATTTCATGGCCGAAAACGGAATAAAACACCATAGGGTGACACCGCTGTGGCCACAGGCTAACGGGGAAGCGGAAAGGTTCATCAAAAACATCAAGAAGACTGTCAAGGCAGCGACAGTAGAGGGGAAAAAGTGGGAACCTGAACTGCAAGAGTACCTGTTGAACTACAGGGCGACGCCACATGGGACGACAGGTCTCTCTCCAGCAGAACTACTCTACGGGCGAAAAATAAAAACGAAGCTCCCTGGAGTCACCGCCACAACGAATGATGGCCAAGTGAGAGAAAGAGATCAGCTCAAGAAGGCACAGATGAAGCTGTATGCCGACAGGAAACGCCACGCTGTGCCTCATAACTTTCAAAGTGGAGACCTCGTGCTACTGAAACGGCCCGTGACTCTAACACATGAGTCCCAATATGACCCAGACCCTTATACGATTACTCGTGTGCAAGGGACAGCTATAACTGCACAAAGAGGTGGCAAGAGAACGATTCGAAATTCGTCATTCTTCAAGAAAATTGAGAAGACTTCTGAAGTTGCAACTGACGATGACTTTGACAATCCAATTAGAGACCGTACGCCCACTGATCAAGACGATCGACACGCTGACACGAACGCTCCTGGCGACTCCATTGGTCCGCTTAAAGCAACCCCTCAAGCTCCAGAGAGACGGCTGCCGGTCCGATCAACAAGGAACACGAGACCACCGCAGTTAAAGGATTACGCAGTGGACTTTCGCTGAGAAGGTTTTTTTTAAAAAAGCAAGAGAGGAAATGTGGTGTCCAAGAACCAGATGGCGCCACATCCCCGCTGTCCGGCATGCGGGAGAAGAGCCCCAAAGGCGAGGGGATGACGGAGGGAGAGAATGCATGGCGGCGCGTCGAAGGTCAGACGCACAAGGCATACGACGTAAAATAAAGTAATGAGTTTTCGTTCGTTACCTGGTTGTCTCCCTCGGCAACACCCAAACGACACTACAGGGTGTTAGGGTAAAAAACTCTATCTTAGGGGCGTTAGGAATAACGCCCTTTGTTTAGGGCGTTTTGCTACACCCAAATGGGTGTTAGTTATAGGACAAGCCATTTACACCCAGAAGGGTGTTACGATGTTTAGTGTGTATGTACGTGTGTATAATACGTGTGTGTTTGTATGTATGTGTATGTGCATATATATATATGTGTGTTTATATATGGTGTATGTATGCATGTATGTGTATGTATGTATATGTGTATGCATATGTATTTATATATATATATATATATACAGGGTGTTATTTGTTATTCGAAACAGATTTATTTTAAAAAATCCGTATAAGATGGAATGGTACGGTTTGTGCAGGTGAGTTATACGGCCAGGGGGACATTTTATAGGGGGCTAATCGTAACGATCATTTGGCTAATTAATTAAAATTCATTAATTAACTTTTTAATTAATGAAAATAGACATATGGTTCCAATTAGAAACTTGCACAGCGTCACCGAAAACCACGAAATCAGTCATTTTCAGAAAGACTTTGAGCGCGTGAGAAGCGTAGTAGTGCACTAAATTTACCGCTCTTTGAGCAGGTACAAAGCTAGCGGTTGCGGTAAGGCGCCTGCGCGATTTTTCCGTCTCTTATCTAGCCCCAGCCTTGTACCTGCTCCACGAGTCGTAACTTTAGTGCACTACTACGCTTCTCACGTGCTCAAAGTCTTTCTGAAAATGACTGATTTAGTGGTTTTCGGTGACGCTGTGCAAGTTTCTAATTGGAACCCTATGTCTATTTTCATTAATTAAAAAGTAAATTAACCAATTTTAATCAATTAGCCAACTGATCGTTACGATTATCCCCCTATAAAATGTCCCCCTGACCGTATAACTCACCTGCACAAACCGTATCATTCCATCTTTTACGGACTTTTTAAAATAAATCTGTTTCGAATAAAAAATAACGCCCTGTATATGTTGAAGCATCTTAGAATATTTTGGATAGTTTTCCCTTTCTTGTGTACAACTTCCCGCTTTCTTTTATAGGCCAGTGCTATTCTCTTTTGGTGTATTGCTGAGAGTTGTCTATTGTTCATTGTTATGATGAAAGTACCTTGTATTATTATATAATTGCTTGTATCCTTTTAAATATCTTTCTCGCCACTGTATGTACCTGAGGGGGGCTGAGGACCAGTCAAGCTGCTTGGACAGCTTTTTTCCTCAGCCCCCACCATGCTTATACATGGTAAATAAAGCTATAATTATTAGTATTATTATTATTATTATTAAATAAGGTACGCTTCAGAGTTACGACACTTGGCCAAATTATGGCTTCACATCATGGTTCCCAGTTATCTGAAGCTTTATCTGAAATTGCAGGACACAATTTTCCGCCTTCCAGGAATATTTAAACAGTTCGCCACAGATCAGACAATACTCCATGAGCTTCCTAACACCGAATCTAATGCTGAGGAAGTCGAACTTTTGAATCATGACGATCGGCAGTTGCGTCTGCTCTGCATACGACCCAAAATGGTGGCACAAAAACAACTATGTCGAGGAACAGAGTGCCGATACTCTAAGCGCAGCTCATTTTGTGGCTCTAAGTCACGTTATACACCAACTCATATTTACAAACAAACAAGGATCGCCCAGCGGACGCCACCGGCGCCGCGCGTGCGCGATGGGGGTGTGGGCAAGAAGCTCGCCGTCGCCCATAAACAAACCATTGAAATGCAATGTTGTCGGCGTCGGTGTGCGTCCCCCTGCCCTTTTTCGCGTTCAAATTGTTGATTCCACGTCTTCCGGGCAATGTCTGACTATTTGAGCGGCGTCAGCGAAATTACCGAGGCTCGTTACACCGCAAAACTTCGCGTGAATAATGTGACATGTGGCGATTCATTCCGCGTGGATGCCGCAGTATGTACGCTAAAGCCTGATTGGCATGATGAGATTTCGCTCGCAATTTTCAGTCGCGACGCCGCTCGGGTTGCAAAAGCGTGAACCGTAGCTGAGATGGTCGACGTCGATACTGAAAATCGCAAGCAGAATCGGACCAAGTGAATTAGGCATAACAAGTCGGTGATTGTCACTGGTAACAATGATCATAATCTCCTTGTATCTACTGTTTACATCAAACTTGCTTACCAACCTTCA